TATAAGAGCTTTACAATTTTTGATAAATTGGAACTGAGTATTCAATTCTATATCATTACATATACATACATACTTATGTATGTGTGTATCCAATTTTACATTTATTTTTTTCTAGTATAAACTAATTGGTAATGTTTCATTATCTAATATTAGATAATTAATTATCCAATATAATCATACAAATTTTGTATATAAATATTTAACTTAATACTATTAACACTTTTTTTCTTTCAAACTTATTTAATGTTATTTAATATTTACATCAAATGTAGCAGTAAAACTAACATATAAAATTGAACAATTTTCACAAAAATTATGAAATTACATATTGACAATTATACTTTATATGTATGTGCTATATGGAAATTTATATTACGTTTGAGTTTTGAAAGAAATTTCGCAAACTACAAACCTAAACATTAGTATTTTGCAGTTAATTTCGTAGCTTTAAAACACTTTAATTTTTATTCATTTAAAAATTATTATCAATTTTTTTTAGTATAACAAACTATTTTTTCATTAGATTTTACAACAAAGATAGTTTTAAATGAAATGTTTTATATTTATTTACTACTACATGTGCGAGGGCACCAGAGACACCCGTCTTCGAAAATTATGGCATCGAAGGAGGAATTTTTTAAGTAGTTTTTTCTGATTACTTAGTCGGGTTTCTTATGCTACTACACATATACGTATACTTTAAAAAATTAAACAATTTGGAAAACAACAATACATTGTATGTTGCAGCTTTTATAAAAGTTAGCAAATGAAAAAACTTACCACAAGTCCCTGTATCACAGGTTTTTGTGCTCACCGCGGAGCATTGATTTATTGGAACACACCGTGTTAAAATAATGTGCATAAATATGCAATTTAATGAAGAAAAGAAAATTAAAAATTAGATTTAGATAATGAGTCGTTGAGTTGCAAAATATAAAAAATTCAATATAAAAAATCCATATACCAACAGTAATCAATCAATGAGTAATAGTTTGACATGAACATGAACCTAAATTTTATAAAGTCTTGCAGTCATGTCGTTTTACTTTAATATCTGTATAATATATTTGGTATGAATACGCTCTGCAAAAGTACATTCTTATTGAATACTAATTATATGTATATTATATTCTATACAAGTGTAAAAACCCAACTACAGCCCACAACTACAACGAAAACCCCAGTCGTGGAAACAGATGATGTCAAAAAAACGGGCAGCACTAAAACAGGAATTTTAGACTCTTTCTACAACAGCGGAAAACTCCGCGGCAGTAATTTCGGTATAGCAAGTTTCTACTTTAATACTTTCGTTTATAATATTAATAAAATATTACAGCCCTGATAACACTTTTCACATGTATGTGTAACTTATATAAGTATATATAGCTTTTCACTTTTTCTTTAGAAATATAACCTTTTTGTAATTCATTGAATAAAGACTATTTAATCAGCCGATAATATAACTGCATATTTAATTGCTCTGCACTTAAATTCTAACAAAGATTATGGGCCGGGGCCACGCGGTTTCTGAGTTAAGTCAAAATCAATAAATATTAAATGAATAAGTTATAATTATAACTGATAAGCAAATCATAGTCGTAGTGAAAAGAAAAGTTTTTAATACAATAAAAGATGAGTTTTTTTCAGATGACTTTATCAAATTGACAAACTTTGTGAAGACAATTATGATTCAAGGAGAATACTAATCCTCATACATAGTTTTTCGTGGAAATTCGTGACTAATGACACACCAACAGTAACTGAGTCAGTGGTACAGTGAGAAAAAGTGATGAAAAGGCTCATGTGACAATTTAAAAATTACATACTGAATTACATATGAAAAGGCATATTAAAAATTACATATTAAAAATTTGCATATTAAAACAAAAGAAGCGCGGAATAAACTGGAAATGATACATCAATCGAAAAGTTCTGGTAGAAAGGTAACGTTGTTCAAAAAACTAATTGATTTAAAAATGGCAGAAGGTTCGAGTATGTCCGATCATTTAAATACTTTTTTCGATACGATTGAATTGATCTGTATTATGTTACTATCTAGTCTATCCTAGAGATTATGAAAACTTTATAATTGCAATGGAATCTCGAGATCAATTACCAAAATTAATATCGCTTAAAAATATATTAATAAAAGAAAGTTCAAGACATGAAAGCACTGTACATAATAAAATAGAATCAGCATTTTATTTGAATGATAAGAACAAATTGTATAATAGGCATAATAAACGTGGTCATATTGTAGAAAACATATAAGTAATTCAAAATTAAACAATAACACTTTATTTTGCTAAGAGTTATCTTAATTTTGGATAGTGGTAGTACTAGTGCTGTAATAAAAGCTGGTTTACGAAAATAAATCATCATGTAGAAAAAATTAAATTTGCAGATAACAAATACATTGAATCTGTAGGAATTGGAGATGTTCGAATTATAACAAAAAATAATTACAAAACATTATTTTAAAAGATTTTTTATATGTACCGAAATTAGTTTCTAATTTTATATCTATAAGTAAAGCTGCAGAAAATGAGCTTTATGTAAATTTTGATTCTAAAACTGCAACAATAAAAAATAAAAGTGGCACTGAAATTTTAAAAGCTGAAAAGGTAAATAATTATTGAAAAGGTAAATATTAGCTTAAAATAAATGTGTCAGAAAATTTTACCTGTGCAAATAATGAATATTGGAACTTTCGATTGTGGCACGAAAGATTTGGTCATTTAATTGCCACAAGTTTAACTCAGTTAGTCAGAGAAAATATGGTTGATGGATTGGATCTGAATATAAAACACAATGAAATTAATTGTGAGACTTGTTTAAAATTGAAAATTTCATGCTAAAAAATTTAAAGTTTCATGCTGAAGATGTTTTACAATTAGTTCATGTCGACATTTGCAGGCCAATGAGAACTAAATCAATTAATTTTAATTAATTCTTAAAATTAATTCATACCGATAATTGGTTGGCCAATGAGAACTAAGTTTTTAACATTTATAGAGGATTACTCAAAAAAAATTTTTGTGTACTTTTTAAAAGAAAAAAAGGAAGCTTTTCAGAAATTTAAAGTGTTTAAAAAATTTGTTGAAACACAGACATCTAAGAAAATAAAGTGGATTAGATCGGATAATGGAGATGAATTTACTAATAAAGAATTCAAAGATTATTTAGAATCTGAAGAAATTCATCATCAATTAACTACACCCTATACCCGCAGCAAAACGGTGTAGCTGAGCGGACCAATAGGGCCTTTGTTAAAATGTCACGTTGTTTGCTACTGAAATAAAGGCTTTTATTATATTTGTGGGTAGAAGCTGTTAATACAGCTTCTTATATAAAATATCGATGTCCTACAAAAATTATGAAATTCAAGAAAATGTAGTACGCCTTTAGATCCTAGTACAAAATTTAGAAGATGTGAATTATGTGAAAAGTGTACAGTTGTGGATGCCAAATTGTATCAATCATTAATTGGTTCATTGATGTATTTATGTATATGTACACGACCTGATATAAGTCATTCGATTGGAAAGCTAGCACAATTCAACGTTAATCCACATACAGAGCATTTAAAGGCAGAACAACATGTATTGAGGAACTTAAATAATACTATTAACTACAAGTTTACTTTTAGAAAAACTAGTCTACCAATGTGTGGTTATGCTGATGCAGATTGGGTCTCAAATAGCGAGGACACAAAATCATTTACTGGTTTTGTTTTCTTTATTGCTGGAGCAACTATAGCCAGGGGATATAAGGGTTCATTTTATTAGAGAAATTTACCAACATAGATTAATTGAACTAACTAACTGCGTATTTAATTTAATCTTACACTCAAATATCAACAATATCACTCAAATTCTAACAATAATATTGTACTTCGCAAAAATTATGTATATCATAAAAAAGTAAAATATAACATGATAATTGTAATTTATATTAATAAGTTATTGCTTAATATGTAGTTATAGCACATATTCAACGGTATGTAAGAAGGAGCTCTGCTCATGTAAAAATTTATAAGTTTACATTGACTTCATTTGTGGAGAAGAAAATGGTAATATGGTATTGAATATCTATCTATCGCGTTTACATAATGTGTATAAGAATATTTAAAAATTTTATGTTCACCTATTCTGTAAACGAATTGAATGCTATTTACTGTACACATATTGTATATAAGTTAACGTTGCACATTATTTCAGACGTTAACCCATCACCCTTCACCAAATAATTTTAATTTAAAAATAGCGAAATCGTCAACACAGCAATTTTCGGTGTGAACTACCTTAAAAATTAGTTCACATAAGAATTCGTTGAACGGCCACGTTGCGCCTATAACAATTATGCTGATAATGCAAGAAGAGCGATCGGTAATTAAAATCAAAATTTTATAAAATTAGTTCATTAGTATTTTATACTGACAAGCGATAAGTAATAGAAATTTGTTTGTTAAATTAAATTGAAACATCGTTTTTTTATTAAAATAAAGTAAAATAATTTTTTCTGGTAAAATAAAGTAATTAAGGTAAAGGACAAAACCCAGGTGGACGCCAGAGGACGGATACTCTATACTGTAAGTATAAATATGCACATCGCGTAAATAATTTTTTCCTTTTTTTTTTTCGATTCTAACATAACGATTAAAGTTGATAAATAAAAACAACAATTAAAAAAAAGTAACAGAATTATTTTGCTCTATTTTCCTCTTTAGGTGTTCATTTCATGATTCATGGACTAATTTCTCTACGATAAAATTTTATGAGATTTAATCTACGATAAAATCTGATGAGTATTTACACATCAGATTATTTTTAAACCATTATGTCAACCATTTGACAGCAAACGTTTTTAATATTTGTGTGTTTACTTAACAAATAACATTCGTGACTATATTATATTATTCAAAGCAATATAATTTTTAAAAAATTGAATGGGTAGTTGCATAGGAATAATAAATTAATATTATTTTATGTACTTACAAAGTTTAATAGTGATGAGCAACAACAAAGTTTTGATAGCTGCAGCGGGAGTCCTAGCATGCCTTATAGAGGAAGACGAGAATATTAATCAAAATAGAAGTAGGAAAAGAAAAATATGGGTCAAAACTTCTTTGAGCAAACGATCGTTTCATGACGTAGAATCAAAACTTATCGCAGATTTATTACTGAATAATGACGGAAGTTTTAAAAATTTTACTAGAATATCGTGGGATGCATTTGAACGGTTGCATCATAGTGTAAGCTACGTGACATTTTGTGAAAAAAAAACCAAAGTTCCATGTATTTTCTTTTTTAGATTGAAAGCAAAATCAAAAAACAAAATACCCATATGAGAGAATCCATCTCAACAAAAGTAAAACTTGCAATAACAAGTGGAATATTGCAAGTGGAGATTCTTATGTTTTGATGGAATATTTAAGTAGAGTTTCGAGATCTACAATACCACTTTTTGTTCCTGAAGTTATAAAAGTTATTTACGAGCAGCTAAAAAATAAATATTTAAAAGTAAGTGTAAAAATTACTGAAACAATATATTTTTCTCAAAACTAATTTAATTCATAACTGACTAAAATAAAACGTAAAACATGTAACATAATAATTAACATAACAAAAAATATTGAAAATAAAAACTCCATTACACTTTACATACATGTGTATGTAAGTCTTAAAACTAAAACATAAACTTTCGTTCTCAGTCTTAATAACATTGATATTTTTAATATGTATGTAGTTACATTATAGCTTCACTGAATGCCAGATTTATTATATCTTGTTTTCCTCTTTCTTTTACGATTTTTCTCTGTGACAATTCATTTTGAAACATTGCCATTAACTCATAAACATCTATCTACGGCAATGTTTTTAATTGGGCCGCTAAATTTTTGCAAAATTCGTCAATTTCGTCTACTGACTTTTCACAAATTTCTTTTAAATTTTTTAAAGCATCATCCAAGCGAGTGTTTTTCGGCTCATACTGGTGCTTTCTTTTCGTGCTTATTGAAGGTCGTGGCTGTTCCTTTTCGTGCGTAGTTGCTGGAGAACATGTAACTGAATCGTTATCGGAAAAATCCAATTCAATCTGAAATATAAATTTTTTCTATGTTACTATTCATTTATTTAATAAGTTTTTTTTTAGATGCCTGATACTCAAGATGCTTGGCAAAAAATTGAAGAAGCGTTTTTGCAATTATTACATTTTCCAAACACTATAGGGGCAATAGATGGAAAGCACATTTATATTCAAAACCCTCCCAATTCTGGATCATACTTTTTCAACTACAAGGGTCGATTCAGCATTGTACTTTTAGCAATGGTAGATGCAAAAGGAAATTTTTTATATGTCGATGTGGGATGCAATGGCAGAATATCTGATGGAGGTATTTTTAAGAACTCATCATTGTTCAGAGCATGACAAAACTTTAAACTTACCCAAAGAAAAGCCTCTGCCAGGGAGAGTTAAACCTATACCACATGTGATTATAGGTGATGATGCATTCGCTTTGTCCAGACATGTCTTAAGAAGTTTTCCTAAAGCAAAAACTACTTCTAAAGAAAAAATTTTCAATTTTCGCCTTTCACACTGCAGAAATGTGGTGGAGCGTACATTTGGACGTTTAGTCTCAAGATTTAAAATTTTCAATCAACCGATCGACTTAAAGTTAGAAAATATTGAAAACATTGTATTGGCTACTTGTGTTTTACACAATTTTTTGAATTCCTACGATTCGCCTATTGGAGCCATAAATTCTTGTAATGAAAACAACTCATTAAGCAATATTTCTCTACAAGGAAGCAACCGTAGCTCACAGTAAGCAAGTGAAATTAGAAGTGAATTTGCAGATTACTTCATGAATAAAGGAGCTGTTGACTTTCAATGGCACATATTGTCTTGAATTTAGAGTTGAAAATTAAAACTAAAAATTTAAAATTTATTTAAAATTTATTTAAAATTTTGTAATAAAAAACTAAATGTTTTAATTTTGTTTTTTTATGTAAGTTGTCTTTAGAATTTTATAGATATACACATGTACAGGCACGGTTAACAATACATATTATAAATTCTATCAGAAATTCTATCTACACAAAAGCGTGGACATAAAAACACATAAAATTATAATATACCTTTTTGAACTCCCTATTGAAGTTTGACCGCAGATTATTTATTTTTGTTTTTACTTCATGAGGACTAATTTTAAATTTTTCTGCCATTAAATTATATGCTTTATTTTTTAAAAATATGTTTTTGTAATTCTTTGAATATACATTCCATAAGCATTCCTGCTCTCTGTAAAAATTGATAAATTCAATTAAATTTTCACCAGCTAGTTTCTTATTCATGGTGCTCATATTCTAACTTCATAAATTTGTTCTTTCGAGATAAACGGGCTTTTTACTTCAAGAATTCAAACACACAATTTAATTAAAAAACAAAAACCTTCTTTTTTTATAACTACATATACCAAAAACTTCATAGCAACCTGTATTCAAAAGTTAAAAAAACATTCAAACGTCAATAATTCAAAAATTCAAAAAATTAAATCAGCTGATCACAGTAAAAATTTTTAAAAAATTTAGATTACGCCATTTTTTTTCGAATGCTGTCAAAATAATCTGATGATAATCGGATAGTTTTCTATTTTTTTCATCAGATTTAATCTGATGTCAGATTTAGATCACACATCAGATTTTCATCAGATTTAGATTTAATCGTAGATTTAATCTGATGTGTAACAGGCACCTAAAGGTTATTCAACTTATGAGAATGTGAAATAAAACGCAAATGAATAAGTTGTGCCGAAAACTGGTATACATTTTATACGATATGAATACGATAAAATATGTACAGAATTTAGAATACATACATATTTTTTTCTTTTTCTGTATGTCGGTTTTTTCGTTTTCTATTTGTGTGTTATTTCTTCTGCAAGCGATGGAAACCTTATTTATGGTAATATTAATAAGGAAGATTTCATTTAAGGTGCGTTTTTTTTCATGAATATTGCAGTAACCTAACTTTAATAATACTGTCATCTTTAATTTGAAATATCAGGTAAGTAGTTATTCCAGGCCGAAGTTGGACCAAATTTTTGCGGTTTTGTTTTGTCTCACTCTAACCAATGTAATTTTGTATGCTTTGTCCTTGTCTAGGTACGTGACTAGAATATGGGAGTGTGTGACATGAATACTAATGAGGCTTTTAATTGCGGTTTTGTGGTTTAGCTAATTAGCATAAAATAAGTTAAGCTAATTTGCATAAAGTAAGTTTAGCTAATTTGCATAAAGTAAGTTTAGCTAATTTGTATAAAGTAAGTTCATAAAGTAAGTTTAGGTATTTAGCATAAGGGGTGAAAAGAATGTATGTATGTATGTAATTGAATTGTCAAATCGTATGAAAGCGTGTACGATCATTAGGTGGGTTAATTAGCATAAATCACGAAAATCATATGGAAAGTATATGTTCTAGTATGATATCATAATTCAATAATAAAATAATAAAAACAACAAGAATGAAACAATAATAGGAAGAAGGAATGTTTGTGCTTAAGTTAGTAGTATGAAAAAATAAAATCAAATTGTTAAACTACATATATGAAAGAAAGTTCGATTAGTAGGTAGGTTAATTAGCATAAATCGCGAAAATCATATGGTGAGTTAAAAACAACAAGAACGAAAATATTGAAAAAAGAAAATGTTTGGGAATTAGGTATAAACACAAATTTATATGTATGTATGTATGTATGTATGTGCAAATTAGTTTACGAATGAAAAGTTTTGAATAAATCAAAGATTATTTAATGAATGAAATATCCAAATACACACACACACATACATACTAGATAATTCTCAAACATTTTTTTTTTTCTCATATTTAGAAATTTGGAAATATTATTACATTTTTCTTTTAAATAAAAGTTTGATTTGAAATTCATAATGATTACGTCATAAGGTACTGCAAAATCATTCCCAAACAAGTTGTTAGAATATGTAATTGAAAATTGCGAAAACACATAGTTGTAAATTTTAATCAAACCGTTTCCAATGTTTTAGTTCTGACCTAAACTTGCAAACGTTTAGTAATTTGTTTTAAAAAGAAAATATGGAAGATGAAATCTGATTCAATTTAGAAATTGAATTCTTCTTTGAGGAAATGAATAAGGAAAAAATGAATAATTTGGAAAAAGCATTCCAAAAAACACTACTGAAGGAAAAAGAGAACACATTAGATCTTTCGTGTGATGAAACCATGTTTGACAGTGCAGACGAGGAAGAGGAAAACTATATAAATGTACTTATCCAGAAGGAAGAAAAAAAATTATTAACAAAGTTAAGGTTGAAAAAAGAGAGGAGTCGGAATTTCGATTGCTGTTTAAAAAATAAAAATTGTTGTTGTGCTATTTGTTTTGTTATTAAGAATTTTTAGTTTATGTATTAATAAAAATAGTAATAAGGAAAATGTAATTTAGATGAAAAATAAAATAAATATTTAAAAGAAAACATTTAAAAACAAAATTTATCTTTTTATTTTCTTTATTATTTTTTTTCAGAAGGAAGGGTCAAATAAAATTTTGTGAGCAAATATGTAATTGCAAAATAGGAAAAACACTTTATATAATTGTAATAAATTACATAACACAAAATAATGTAATCATGTTTTAAAATAATTAACTGTACTACTTTATTTAGAGTTTTTGGATATCTTTTCTACAAAAACAAAAATATTTTTTAATTAGTAACCTATTTTGATATTCTTATATCAATTGTCTTAAAATAATTCCGTGGTTTTTTCTTAAAATAATTCAGTTTCATTTTTTGATTAACAAATTGATTTATAGAATATGTACATAATTGTAAAATAGGAAAAAGTAATTTTTTTTTTTTTTTAATCTAATACGTGTACATCAATAATTTTTGTGGTTATTGATATTAATATTTAGTTTGTTTATTGCATATTTCAACTTTGTATTATTGACACCATTGTTGATTGTTTTAAAAAAAATTAGGGATTCCGTGGTTTAATTATGTTTATTGTAAATATTATGTACCTGTAATAATAACTATGTAAAAGATATTCTTCAGAAAAATATGTAGAATCTTCTGGCCGAATAGAATCTCCAACCTAGAGCTGTGGGACCTCACAGGTGAAGAACCTATAGCCACACAAATCAAGAAACGTAAATGGCGCTGGTTGGGGCACACACTAAGAAGGCCACCGGGTGCGATTCCACGTCAAGCGCTAGAGTGGAACCCCCAAGGGAAACGAAAAGTGGGTAGACCAAAAATGACGTGGCGTAGAACCATAAACAAAGAAATCGTCGACAGCGGCAAGTCTTGGTCACAGATAAAAACATTGGCAAGTAACAGAGTACGATGGAGAGGCTATGTGGAAGCCCTATACATAAATTCACCTGAAATTTTTGTGGTTGATGCATAATTTTATAGACTATTTAATTGTATAATTTATGTGAAAGAGTGTTTTTTTAAATTTAAATTATGTAAATAATATTAAAAATCCTTCTATAAAAGGTACAACATTTTCTTTGTGATAATCATAGTAAGCTAAATTTTAAAGTTAAAACATTAATTTCAAAAAAAAAATGAGCAACATTAATATCATTGATGACGTCCTTATCATGCCAGCGCAGAAAGGAAGAAGAAGCGACGGAGAAGTAAATGAATCAGCGTCAACATCAGGGCAACACCACAACCAAGAGCGGCAACAGACCCAAGTAATAATACCATCTGCGGCTGATATAGTCAGCTTTTTAAACAGTACAGTGAATGCAAGTGCAGCAAAAAGAACGCTGCTAAAGACGAAGGAATTGGAGGCAAATAAACTATATCATATACAAGCATTGAAAAGGGTGCAACACCCTATGGGATGAGAGTCATCGTAGAGATGGCAACAAAAATTTATTATCTAAACAAAAAATTGTCTGATATATCAGACGATTTTTTAGAAACTTTAAATAAAGAAAAAAAAAAGCCTATGAACCCATAAGCTGGCTTTTAACCAATAAAAAAGTATGTTTGTATATACAAAAAAAATTGTAGAAAAAAATAAAAATTATTTATGAATAAAAAAATATTAAGATGTTTTTATTTTTTATTGTTTTATCTTAATTTTTTTAGGAAAGAGGAGGGAATTTAATGAAAAAATATTAAGATTTTTTGTTTTTTACCTTAATTTTTCAGAATACATATTAATAAATATTCATATAGTAGTCAGATCAATCATTCTTACTTCTGATTCAGGTTATAAGTTAATATCAAACTCTTTGATTCCTTCTACCTCACCATTACTAAGGATTCTCTCCTTTTTAAATTCCTTATGTTCATAACAAGAAATGAATAAATTGCGTGCTTCATATATACCTTGGTACGTGTATCTTATTTTCAATATAAACCCATCATCAAAAACAATTTGAAAATGACGATAAAACACATTATCGCTTTCTATGTAGCCACATATTTCATTTTTTTTTTCCAACAAATCCCTACGAAAATATTCGATTATTTCCTCCGTAGTCATTTCTCTTTTCGATTCTACATTTTTAGTTATTGAAGGAGATTTTGTTGTTGTAGATATTTTATTATCTTCCACATCAACAAAATAGAATTAGAGGTATAATTGTTGAGGTATGCCCACATTTGTTATTTGTTTATTCGCAAGATCATAATTTCCATCAGCAGTTAATGGGAAACTAAGAGAAGAAGAAGAATCTGTTGGATGCTGAATTTTATGTGTTACGAAGTTGAGACAAAAATTTGTGGTTTTGTGTTTTGTCTCACTCTAACCAATGTGATTTTGTATGTTTTGTCCTTGTCTAGGTACGTGACTAGAATATGGGAGTGTGTGACATGAATACTAAAGAGGCTTTTAATTGCGGTTTTGTGGTTTAGCTAATTAGCATAAAATAAGTTAAGCTAATTTGCATAAAGTAAGTTTAGCTAATTTGCATAAAGTAAGTTTAGCTAATTTGCATAAAGTAAGTTTAGCTAATTTGCATAAAGTAAGTTTAGCTAATTTGCATAAAGTAAGTTTAGCTAATTTGCATAAAGTAAGTTTAGCTAATTTGCATAAAGTAAGTTTAGCTAATTTGCATAAAGTAAGTTTAGCTAATTTGCATAAAGTAAGTTTAGCTAATTTGCATAAAGTAAGTTTAGCTAATTTGCATAAAGTAAGTTTAGCTAATTTGCATAAAGTAAGTTTAGCTAATTTGCATAAAGTAAGTTTAGCTAATTTGCATAAAGTAAGTTTAGCTAATTTGCATAAAGTAAGTTTAGCTAATTTGCATAAAGTAAGTTTAGCTAATTTGCATAAAGTAAGTTTAGCTAATTTGCATAAAGTAAGTTTAGCTAATTTGCATAAAGTAAGTTTAGCTAATTAGCATAAAGTAAGTTTAGCTAATTTGCATAAAGTAAGTTTAGCTAATTTGCATAAAGTAAGTTTAGCTAATTTGCATAAAGTAAGTTTAACTAATTTGCATAAAGTAAGTTAAGCTGATTTGCATAAAGTAAGTTTTGAAAGTATGTATGATCGATAGGTAGGTTAATTAGCATAAGTTGTAAAACTCATATGGAAAGTAAGTGCTCTAGTATGATATCATAATTCAATAAAAATAATAAATAATAATTCAATAAAAATAATAATAATAATGCTCTAGTATGTAGATAATAGTTTATGAATGAAAATTTTTTTG